GCCTCGGTCATGACGGGCGAGACTGGAGCTTCCCGAAAGCAGAGAAGGAGAGAGGCAGAAGCCGGGCGGGAGAAGCGGGAGGTTATTCCAGAGCGGAGGGCAGGTCTCATCCCTGACAGGCATATGACAACGGAGGCGTTCAGGGCCTGGGGGACTCGGGGACCCGCAACTCAGTCCAGCCACCCACCTGACCCACAGCCAAGAACCGGGTTATGCAGTCGCCAAGGTCACCGACCCCGTAGCAGAGCCCAAACCATCCACCCCACCCCGGCCACCAAAGCCTCTCACTCATGACCTGGGCAAGCTCTGTGGCCGCCCCAAGCCTCCTCGGTTTTCTCATCTGTAAAATAGGATGGCACTAAGAATTCTGAGGTCTTAGGGCTGTTGTGGGAATAGCTAAGACCACGTGTGCTTCCGGAACATTCGTCTTATTAGTGTCTGTGGCACGCAGCTCGGGGGATTTTCTGCCCAGTTTTAGGATGAGGAGACAGAGGGCCAGAGAGGCAGGTTTCTCGGCCATAAGGGCCCCGGGGCAGGGGTCTTTCCAGCTCCCAAGTCGCCCCAGGAGAAGGCAGCCCAGTGTGGCTGTGGGATGTGGGTGCCCTTGCTGCCTGGAAGACCCCCAGGCCTCCCACCTGTCACCTCCGCATCGCTCCTGCTCCTGCACCCTGCCAGAGACCGCTCGTGGGTGGGCTCTGATTGGCCTGGGCACCCGGGTGGGGCCTGCCTCCAGCTTGCAGGAGGCACGTGGATGGGGGTGGGCCCTCAGGAGGCCAGTGGCTCAGCCCTGCTCCAGGGATTCCATCGCGCTGCGACACCCCGCCCCCAGTGTCCCACTTGGAAACAGGGCGCCAGCTCAGTGCCCGGAGGCTGGTGTGGGGGATGGCGGTGGTCCAGCAGCCACGCAGAGGGGCGGGCAGGGGTGACGGATGGCTGTGGCGGTGGGCTGTGGACGCCGGAAGCAGGCTGGAGCCCGGGGCTGTCTCTCCCTCTCCGAGGCATGCCACTGCCTCCTGTCCTCCTTGGGCTGCTGCTGTGCCCAGCACTGCCCAGGGCTGAGTCTCAAGACCGGGAACCGCTCCGCTCTGGGTCGGGAGACACTTCCCAGCAGTCGGCTGCCTGTTCCTCCTCTTCTCTGCCCTACGCCGAGCCCGGAGAAGTTCCAGAATCCCTTTTTTAAGAAAGCCACAGCTGCGCTCATGGCTCAGAAGAGACGCTGCCTGGATTCAGTCAAATCTAGAACCGAACCCTCTCCTGGCCATGGCACCCCCCGGAACCTCAGTTTTCTCACCTGTAAAGTGGGAATGATCCTTGCTAGCCCAGTCTTCTGCACGGGCTGCATGGGCTGCGTGAGGACGCATCGCTGGGGCCCAGTCAACATGTTGGCAAAGGAAGAGTGCTCCGGAAATGAGCACCCGGCAGGCCCTCAGGAAATATTCCCTGATTAAATAGGATCTTCAAAAAACAGAATGGCCCCGACATCTGTGTCTTTTGTCTCTCTTTCCTAAAGCCCCAGGGAGTTAGAGGCCGGGTGAGACAGGGCATTCTTTCTGGGCCACGGAAGGCTGGCGCATTCTCAGTGATGTCAGCGCCCGTGTGTGGAATGCATTACGCTCCCTCCGTGATGCCGGCTCTCTCTACCGTTACGGCTCCTCTGGGAAGGAGACTCAGCAGCCGGTCGCTGAAGGCAGGCGGCAGGGTTGCTGCTGTCTCTGGCCCTTGCCGTCCCACAGCCCTAGACCAGACCCACGCCTTCTCTGGGCCTCCGTCTTCTTTTCTGTGAGACTCCAGATACCAACTCTCAGAGCTACTGTGAGGGTTAGGTGAGTCACAGGACTGGCTCAGTATATGTCCAGGGCTCGGCACCGGGCCTGGCGTTCAGCAGGCTCTCAGGAAAGGTAGCAGTCGTTATTGTCACCTGAGGTCACCCTCCTCCCAGTTAGCTACTGCTGTGTGATAAGCTGCCCCCAAGTTCAGGGCCTGAAGCAACCACCTCTCTTTGGCTCGCGATCCAGTGTGGATGCAGTTCGGGCTGAGTTCAGTTGGGCGGTTCGTGTGCTCTTCCCTGCGTCTGTGCTGATGGTTCTGCTTCTGAGGGTGGGTGTCTACTGTCTGGGTACCGGCCTGCTTGTCCCCTCTCCTCCGGCAGACTAAGCCAAGCGTCTTCACATGGCAGGGGCAGGGTTTCGAGAAAGAAGGTGTGCAAAACCTCTTGGGACTCAGGCTTGGAACTGGTACACTGTCCCCTCCACACATTCTGTTGGCCACAGCACATCGCACACCCAGCCGGGATTCAGGGAGAGGCTGACTGCCCCGCCACGTGGCAGAGAACACAGACACAGGAAGGGGAATGTGTGACGGTGTTTGCAAACAACTGACCGCAGAGCAGCTGATTCAGGGATGCCTGGGAGGGACCCCACTCACCCCGTGACACCAGCAGGAAAGCCAGTGGCTCCCCCGGTGGCCTCCCTGCTCCCTGCTCCGACCCCCGTCAGACCTGGGCTGCCACTTTCCAATCCCTCTCCTGAAGGAGATGGAAACCAGACTCCAAGCAGGGCTGGTCACATGTACCCCACAAGTGGAGTCGTGAGGGCCTGCTGACTCGCACCACACAGACCAGCCCGTGCTGTCCTCGGAGGAAGGAAACACACAGCCCACCTGCGCGACCCTTGGCCCCAGCTAGCCGTGAAATCAACTCATTAAACCGTGCTGACGAGGCGTTTTCGACAGTTTCCCTTGGCCCCTGGAAAAGGCCTTCCTGCCCCGTTGAATAGACAGGAGGCCCGGCCAGTGCCTCTTGGGGGCAGGGGGTGTGGGGCTTTCACCGTGTCCACACTCTGATTGCCCCTGGCGTCCTCCTGGGCCCTAGCCAACCAGTCTGTGGGACGGGAGGCCATCACCTCCCCCCACCGGGGAGCGGCAGCCTCCAGTGTCCCAGGCAGTGAGGACGCTGGGTGACAACCGCCCGTCTGGAGACCTTGTCTTCCCTGGCACGTCCGGGCAGGTGGAGACAGGTCCTGGTTGGTCTGGTTGCCCTCTGTCCCAACATGGGTGTGTTTTTGGCTCATGTATTTTCACCTGTGTCCCCCCAGCTAGACTAAGCTCTGCAACGCGAGGGGCCTTGCTCGCCTGGGGTGGGGGGTGATTCCATCCCCAATGCCTGGCGGAGACTAAGTGCTCAGTAAACAGTCACTGACTGGATCCGTGCACAAGTCAGCTTGAGTGGGGTCGTGCCTGCCCAGAAGGGGCCCCTCCCCCGCCCCTGTTGTGAGCCAGAAGTCTCCGTGCCCAGGGTCTCAAGGCCCAGGGGACAGGACACTGAACACACGGGGCCAGTCCCAGTGTCTCCACTACTGGGTGGCTGTGGACACGAAGCTGCCATGTGCGGCCGTGCAGGTTGTTTACTGCCAACCTCGGGAGGCATTTAGACTACGAGGTGAATGACTCCTGGATTCAGACCGTGGGGTAGGCCTGCAGCAGCTTGGCTTTTCCAAGATTTGGTTTCCACGCCACAAGGGCCACCAGCGCCCCTCCCTCCCAGACAGCCTCGCAGGAAGCTGCCGGGTCTCCCCAGGGTCAGCCTCCTGCCAGCCCCTCTGTGCTTCCCACCATTCCTGCCATCCCACCCCCCAGCGTCCTGCAGGAAGCCCACTCCCGCCCCGGGGGCACAGCTGGAGGCATCTGCAGCAACCTGGGGAGGGGGGCTTGGCTGCAGGCCCGATGTCCTCCAGCCCAGAAGGCAGGTGCAGGGGAAATGACACCAGGGGGCCGCTGGGGCTGGGGTGGGTGTCCCGGCCAGACCGCCCGACAGCCCTCCCGCCTGGCTGCGCCTCCCACTGGGCAGGCGCCTAGCACAGCCCCAGCCTCGCGCCCATGGGCATCCTTGCCCTGGAGGTGTCAAGGCCCAAAGTTCTCCAACGTGTCCCATCCCCAGGGGACGGAGGACCCCTGAAGCCGCACCCGTCCTGGGGTGGGCTGTGCGGGGAAGTGGCTCGCTATGCTCATTCCCACAGGAACACTGGGGGCTGGAACGATCGTGCTACTTTCCAGATGAGACCAAGGGAGGTGAAGGCGCCCTCCGCCCCCGCCAGCCCCGTGAGACTCTGCTGTGACCTGGCTTGAGCCCAGCCGGGAAGGAGTGACTGGGGGCGGGCTGAGGGACCAGCGCGCCTGCCCATTCCTGAGTCCCACTCTGTGCACCCTGCTACCTCCGCCCACAGGATGGGACCTGGACTGGGCCCGGGGCCCCGCAGCAACACTCGGCCCAGACTGCGCGGTTGGCAGTGGGCAGTCAAGTGCTGGGACGTGCCTGGGCACGGGTGGGAGGGGCGCCGGTGTGCAGGCGTGTACTGTGTGTGCGACTGCAAGTCCTGGTGTGTCGGGGCGTCCAAGTTCCCTACAGTCCTCAGAACACAGGTGCCACGTGGGCAGGGGGGTCAGTTCTGCGTCAGGGTTTCACTTTGGAGCCCAGGCTGGAGTGCAGTGGCACGATCACGGCTCAATGAAGCCTCGACCTCCTGGGCTCAGGCAATCCTTCCACTTCAGCCTCCCAAGCAGCTGGGGCTGCAGGTGCATGACATCATGCCCAGCTAATTAAAAAAAAATTTTTTTTTCGTAAAGATGATGCCTCGCTGTGTTGCCCAGGCTGGCCTCGAACTCCTGGACTCAGGTAACCCTCCCACCTTGGCTTCCCAAAGTGCTGGGATTACGGGCGTGAGCAGCCAGGCCCGCCCGAATGCTGTGTTCTTAAGTGTATAGAAATGTGCTTCTCACATAGTCTGTATGAACAAATGAATGAATGAATGAATGAATGAATCAAGAAAACTTAGTCCACAGGTTCTGACGGCCCCAGAGAACAGCCAGACATTCACCCTGAGCCTGCGTGGCCACTTGGGCCCCTGTCAGTCTGTGGGGGAAGGAGGCGGTGGCCATGCTGGCCCGGGAGACATCCCAGTGGCCGGAGGCTCCAGCATCCGTAGTGTCCCCCTGCCCCCTGCTGCTCAGGGCCCGGGGACCTGCTCACCCGAAGGGAGCTCGGCCAGGGCGCTCTGCGGGCAGGCCCAGAAAGGCCGGGCGGGGCCTTGCCCCCACCGGCCACCATGGCTCGGTCGAGGGAGAGGAGCTGGGGCTGGGCCGGGCCTCCGGGCTTCGCGGCTTCTGTGCGCGCGTGTGCGCGTGTGGGCACGTGCGTGGGCACACATCCCAGCAGGACTCGCCCCTCCAGCCGTGCCCGGCATTAACACCATGCAGTCCTCCTGCGCTGGGTGACACAATCCCCGCCCCTCAGAGCCTCCGCCCCCCCAGGCCTCCCCCAGCGATTCTGTCCTGGCTCAGGCCTGGCCTCATCCCCGTGGGTCGGTGTCCTCGCCCGTTGGTCCCCCCGAGGTCCCACTTCCTGGACGTGGCCTAGGCACCGTCTCCAGACTCCCGCCAGCCAGCCCAGGGCCGGGCGCATGTGGGCTCCCTTCGGCTTCCGTCACGAAGGCCGTCAAGGCTCGTGTGCTTGGGGTCTTGGATTCTCGATTCCAGCCAGCCACGTTTTCCACTTAGCTAATCACGAGGACACTTTGGGAAATAAGAGCTCTAGAACTGACAAAGCTCCCCCCACTTTTTTGTTTTTTTTGCTCTGGCCACCAGGGAGCTCAGAGGCAAAATTATATATGGTTCCGGGTAACAACAAGCACTGGAGGGTGGTCTCTGCCTTCACCCTGCACTCAAGTGAGGGACTGGCAGTGCTGAGCTGAGTGGGAGTCCGAGGCTGCAGTGAGCGGTGTCAGCTGTGGGCATGGCCAGGGTGCGTCTGAGAACTGTGATCCATTAGTGATGTCTGCTGTGAGCCTGGCACAGAGAGCAGGCCGTGCTTGCGGTTGCGAGGCGGGTAGCCTGGTGGCAACTCAGCCAGGTTTTCACCCAAGCCTACATGCATTTATGTTCTCCCTGCTCCGCTTTACGCATGGTCCTACACGCCTTCTTTGCAAAACACGGCGGACCACACAGAAAAGGAGCCAGTGGGGCTTCGCTTGGCGCCCCAGGCCCCAGGCCACCCAGCCGCTGCAGACAGAGTCCCTGCTGTGCAGAGAACAGCCCCGGCCTGAGGCCCCTTAGGTCCCGGGTGCCGTCCAGGGGCCGCCGGCCCTGAGTGGACACCCTGGACACCAGATGCGGTGTCTCTTGCAAGAGTCACTGAGGTCCAGGCCAGCACTCGGGCCTTCCCTGAGGTCAGCCTCCCCCTTGCCGAGACGGAGGCTTCTGGCCTGGCCTCCCCACCGCATCCCTCCTGGTGGGTCCAGGCTGTCTACCCCGACCTTGGGCCTGAGAATCCAAAGCACTGTGATCCAGGAGTCACCTCCGAGAGATGCAAACGACGCAGCATCCGCGCCCCCATCCCAGATCTGCTCCGCCATCATTTTGGGGCCTTGGAATCTGCATTTTCCCGAGGTTTCCCTGGGGCGAGACCCGAGCCTGGGGCTGGAGTAGCTCCTCAGCTGGGGGAGCAGCGCCACCTGGTGGGTGCCGCCGAAACAGCACCTGTCCTGCACGCTGCCTGGAGCAGCAGCGCCACCTGGTGGGTCCTGCTGAAATGCCAGCTGGTACTCGCCCTGCCCGGGGCAGCAGCGCCCCCTCGTGGGTCCTGCTGAGACACCAGCCGCCCATCACCCTGCCTGGAGCAGCAACGCCCCCTGGTGGGCGCCGCCAAAACAGCACCCGCCCATCACCCGGCCCGGGCCGCAGTGCCACCTGGAGGGTCCTGCTGAAACAACGCGCGCCCCGTCCCACTGGCCCCTCGGCAGGGACCCGAGAAGGGAGAGGAGAGCCCACGCCGGGCGGCAGCGGGCTGGGGTCCCCCAGAGGAGCCGTGACAAGGACTTCCTTGAGGCCTCAGATTTAATCGCGTCCTGCACGTCTCACTGCATCCCGTGTCTTCAATATCAACACGTCTCCCTCCCCAGATCTTTGTGGAGAAGGAGGCTCCAGGAAGAGAGGCCAAGTTTCCCCGTCCCCCATCTCCAGCCGGCCTTTGTGCACTCCCTGGGGGCCCCGTCCCCTCATCACGGAAGCAGGACGGCCGGGGTCTGACCTACGCCTGCACTGACCCAGAAGCCCTGGGCACCCGGCAGCGGGCAGGCAGGCCGGCAGCCAGACCGCGGCCCAGCACGTTCCAGGCCCAGGCTGGATGGCAGAGCCGAGGGGCCCAAGGGGAGCAGGGAGCTGCCCGCCACGCTCCTCGGGCCCAGGGGCGCTGGGGACAGCAGCGAGGTGCCCGCCACGCTCCAGCAGGCCCTGGCCCCTGGCTTGCCACCCCGCCCCAGCTCCGCCCCCGCCCCGGGAAGCACAGCCCACGCTTCAGGCTGGATTATTACGAATCCCCTTTAATGGTCTCGGGTCTGGAGTCCGTTTTGCAAAACTGCACAGAGCCTCTCCCCACACCCCTCCCCAGGGGCCAGGGACAGCTTGCCCGCAAGGCAGCCGCTTCCCCCGGGCGAAGGCGTCCTTCTCCTCCCCTTCGCAGGACCACGGCATTCTGAGAACGCGGGCCCAGCTCTGTGCCCCGTCCCCGAGGGCCAGCCAGGTCCCCTCACCAGGCAGACGCCCCCATGGCGTGGCCCCACCGGCCTGCGCCTCTGGAGGGGGCTGACCAGAAGGTAGTGGGCGAAGTGCGGTCCCTTCACGTCAGATAGAGCCACCCTCCCCCATTACCTTCAGCAAAAATGTGAAAAAAACAAAGATAGGAGTGTCACCACGGAAAAAGCTGGCCCACCCAGTGGGCAGTCCCGGACATCCCAGGGTGCCGCATTCACCCCCCATTTTCAACACACATCTCTACGCAAGAGGCACCGCCTTGAGGGCAGGCCGCCTGCAGGGAGCATTGCTCCGAGCTGCCGAGAGGGCCCTGCTGGGCAGTGAGCAGGAGGCCAGTGGACAGCCAGGCCCGAGGCTGGAGCAGAAAGGCTGTGACGGGGGCCAGGCCCGGAAAGCCCCCCACATCTGGTCAGCACAGGACAGCAGGGGCCTTGGCAGGGAGGGGGAGGCGGGCCTGCAGGAGGGAGACCCTGGGAGCCCCACGGGCGGGGGTGGGCAGGGAGGTGGGGACAGCCACTGCTTCAGTACTTGGGAACCTTGCTGTAGTCTTCAGAATGGACGTGCCGGCACAGGCAAATGGAGAGGACCATCCCCAGGAGCTGCGGAGGGAGAGACGGACAATCAGAGGGGGCTGGGCTGCCCGGTCCCCAAGGCCCAGCCGCGCCCTCCGGCCCTAGACCAGGACTACGCAGGCCTCGGCCCTGGCCTCCCACCACCCGTGCCGGAGGCAGCAGAGCGAGGCCCAGAGGGGGACGGCACCCTGCCCAAGGCCACAGAGCTGGGCAGGGCTCAAGCCAGAGGGCCCCTGGGAGCCTGCGGGAGCCTCCCCTGGCCTTGGCCTCCCAGCGGACGCCAGCCCGGACCGCCCCGGGAGGGCTGGGGAGGGGACCCAGACCTCGAGGACGGCGACGCCCGCACACACGCCGAGGATGACACCCAGGTTCTCCTGCAGCCACGCCTGCACCTTCTCCATGCAGCCCTGGAGGAAGGACACGGCCTCGTCGCCCGCCTCCCCAGAGCTCCCCAGAGCCCCCCGCCAGCCCGAGGGCTCGTGCTCCTGGAGCGGATGTGCTGAGGAGTGGGTGGGGGCCGGTGCCAGGGAAAGCCCAGGGAGGAGCCCGGGAGGAGGGCGGACGCAGAGCAGCCCGGGTCGCTGTGCCCGCCCCTGCCTCGGCCCACACGCACTTCCTGGTACACAGGCCAGTCCTCGGGGCTGTTGCCGCTCTGGGTTCCGTTGCTGGAGGCCTCGCAGAAGCCCCTCCGCACCGGAAGGCTGGTGCCCTCCTCTCCCTTGTCCTCACAGGAGCAGGGGTAGGTGACCTCGGGGCGGTGCATGAGCTCAGCGTTGTCCGTCCAGTTGTAGAAGCTGCTCCAGCCGCAACACTTCACCTGGCAGGTGGGACAGGCTGCTGTGCGCACTGTCTACCCCACGGGCTATGCCCTGGCAGGCATGGGGCTCCCCCTGACGGAGGCTAGGTCTGCCACTGCCCAGTACCCCCAAGTCCCACCAAACCACCCGGATTACGGTTTCGGTTTCATTTTGGCTTCCGGGAGCCACGAGCCGTTTAAAGCAGCTTTCAAGAAGGCCAGGTGCGGTGGCTCATGCCTGTAATCCCAGCACTTTGGGAGGCCAGGGCGGGAGGATTGCTGGAGCCCAGGAGTTTGAGACCAGCCTGGGCAACGCTGTGAGACCTCATCTCTACAAAAAAATTTTAAAAATTAGCGGGCATGGTGGTACGTGCCTGAAGTCTCAGCTTCTTGGGAGGCTGAGGTGAGCCAAGATCATGCTACTGAACTCCAGCCTGGGCAACAGTGAGACGCCAACTCAATAATAATAGTAACCACAACAACAACAGGAGCTCTATTCACAATAGCAAAAACATGGAACCAACCATCAAAGCTGGACTGGATTATAAAAATGTGGTGCTTACACAATGGAATATTATACAGCCATAAAGAAAGACAAACATACGAAGTTCACAGTAACTTGGGTGGACTTGGAGTCAATCTTACTCAGTGATCTATCACAGAAATAAAGAACAGAGTTCCATATATTTTCACTAATAAGTGAACCTTGAACAATCATAATACTAGAAGAAAGGGGTTGGCAGTCGTGGGAAACTGTCAGGGGAGGGGGGTGAGATTGGCAGTTGAGGGAAACTGCCAGGGGAGGGAGGGGCACACCTCATCCACAAGGGGACCTGCATAATCAATGTTTGTATGCCTACCCCTGAATTGGACCCCACATCTCTAAAATTAAAAAAAAAATTTTAATAACAACAAGAATAACCAAGTCGTTTCAGGAAAATTAGCCTACGCTACAAAAATCAGAAGCCAAAACCAGGCCCAGCAAACATTCAAGGTAGCGTGGGGGGACGTTCAAATGGAAAGACGAGCACAGGTGTGCAGGACACAGGAGAGCAGAGGGCATGCAGCCGGGAGTTCAAATCCCAGCCCTGCCACCTACAGCTGAGCAACTCGGTCAAGGGACAGGCCTGTTTCCTCTTCTGGGAAGCAGGGTTCGCAGAGGTTCCTAACTGGCAGGGATCTCGTGAGGACTAAATGGGATAAGGTGGGTAGGATCGGACCTGCTCTGGGGAGCTTGAGAGTTGGCTATGAGCTTCCCAGTTGCCAAGGGAAAAAGGAACCATGGTCAGTTCTGCTGTTTTAAAGGAGAAAACGCTTTGGCTCCAGAGAGAAGATGCCCTCTCTGGACTCCAGGTGCTGAAAGAATCTTCTGTGTGCTGGTGGCTACCCTGCTGGGGACCCTGGAGGACTGCAGGGACAGCATGGGTGAGCGGGGTGACCTTTCATCTCAGGGTGTTGCATCCCGGCGGCTGGCAGGGGGCATGCCAGGCCAATGCAGGCGCTCATTCCCAGGCAGTTTCTTTTCTCTTTCTTTTTTTTTTTTTTAGTCAGAGTCTCACTCTGTCACCCAGGCTGGAGCGCAGTGGCACGCTCACAGCCATCACCGCCTCGACCTGCTGGGCTCCGGCGATCCTTCCGCCTCAGCCTTCCAAGTAGATGGAACCACAGGGGTGTGCCACCATGCCTAGCTAACTTTTGATTTATTGTAGTGACGAGGTCTCACCAAGTTGCCCGGGCTGGTTTTAAACCCATGGGTTCAGGCAATCCTCTCACCCTGGCCTCCCAAAGTGTTGGAGTTACAGGCTTGAGCTACTGCACCCGACCTTCATTGACTATTTGTTTGTTTGCTTTTTGTTTTGTTTTCAGTTGGGGTCTCACTCCGTCACCCAGGCTGGAGTGCAGTGGCACGCTCATGGCCACCACAGCCTCGACCTGCTGGACTCCGGTGACCCTTCTGCCTCAGCCTTCCAAGGAGCTGGAACCATGGGCACGTACCACCACACTCGGCAAATTTTTTAATTTATTGTAGAGACGAGGTCTTGCCAAGTTGCCTGGGCTGGTCTTGAACCCCCGAGGGCTCAGGCAATCCTCTCATCTTGGCCTCCGGAAGAGCTGGGATTATAGGTGTGAACCACCACGCCCAGCTCCCAGGCAGCTTCTAATCCAGCTTTTCATTGTCACACTCCGGCTCTCTGAGGGGCACACGGATCTCTGCAGGGCTGGGGCACCCACAGGCTCCCTGGCACCCAGGAAGAACTAGGCGGGTCTCCACAGCCCTTCTGCGGCGCCAGGCAGAGCCCTCCTTTCCGGGAAGCCCTTGTGCTGACCCCTGCTGCCCCTGTCCCCAGTACACATGCCACCTCTGCCTTTGTCTCAGCGGTGGTGTATGACGAGCAAAGCGTCACCCCTAGGCCGGACTTGGTGGCTCATGCCTATAATCCCAGCACTCTGGGAGGCCAATGCGGGAGGATCGCTAGAGCCCAAGAGGCCGAGACCAACCTAGGCAACGTAGTGAGACCTTGTCTCTGCAAAAAAATAAAAAAGTTAGCCAGGCGTGTGGCGCGCGCCTGTAGTCCCAGCTACTCGGGAGGCTGAGGCAGAAGGATCACCCGAACCCAGGAGTTGAGGCTAGGGTGAGCCATGATCATGCCACTGCCCTCCAGCCTGGGCATCAGAGTGAGAGCCTGACTCCAAAACAAAGCAAAAAAGCCAT